TTATTATGTAATGTCCTTCTTAGTCTCTATAAAGTTTTAACTTAAGGTCTGTTTTGTCTGATAGAGGCATGGACTACTTGTACTCACTTTTGGTTCCCATTTGTATGGACCATCTTTTTCCAACCCTTCATTTCGTGTCTCTTTACAGGTGAAGTGAGTTTCTTGTAGGCAGCATATAGTTGAGTCATCTCTTTTATCCATTCAACCAGTCTGTATGTTTTAAATGGAGAATTTAATCCATTTACACTCAGGATTATTATTGATAGGTAAGGACTTAGTTCCTGTCATTTTATTGATTTTGTGTGTGTATCTTTTGTTCCTTGTTTCCTCTTTCATTGTTTATTTTGTGGGGAGGTGGTTTCCTGTAGTAATAAAGTTTGATTTTTTTTCCTCCTTTGGGTACCAACTCTACCAGTGAGTTTTAGTTTCACGTGTTTTCACAATGGTTGTCATTGTCTTTTCCCTTCTTGTAAGGCCAGTCTAGTGGTGATGAATTCCCTTAGTTTTTGCTCTCTGTGAATGATTTTATTTCACCTTCACTTCTGAAGAATAGCTTTACTGACTATAATATCGTTGGCTGATAGTGTTTTCTTTCAGTACTTTGAATATATCATCTCAGTCTCTCCTGGATTATAAGGTTTCAGCTAAAATGTCTGTAGTCTAATGGGGATTCCTTTATATGTGACTTGACACTTTTCTCTTGCTGCTTTTAAAATTCTTTCTTTGCCTTTGACTTTTGACAAATTGAGCATAATGTGCCTTGGAGCTGACCTGTTTTGGTTGCATTTATTTGGGGTTCCTTGAGGTTCCTGAACCTGAATGTCCATCTCTCTCTCAAGACTTGGAAATTTTTCTGCTATCGTTTCATTAAGTATATTGTCCTTACCTTTTCCCTTCTCTTCTCCTTTTTGAACACCCATAATATGAATATTTGCTCACTTAATGGTGTCCCATAGACACTGTAGACTTTCTTTTTCTTTTTCTTTCTTTCTTTCTTTCTTTCTTTCTTTCCTTTTTCTTTCCTTCTTTTTGTGTTATTTCAAAATACTTGTTTTTGAGTTCAGAAATTCTTTCTTCTGCATAGTATAGTCTGTTATTGAAGCTCTTGATGATTGTATTTTTTATTTTATTCATTAAATTCTTTAGCTCTAGGACTTCTGATTAGTTCTTTTTTAATGATATCTATCTCTTTACTCAATTTCTCGTTCAAATTATGAATAGTTTTCCTGATGTTAAACTGTTTATCTGTATTCTCTTGTATCTCATTGAGTTTTCTTAAGATTATTTTAAATGCTTGCTCTAGCATTACATATATTTTTCTTATGGTTAAGATCTATTACTGGAAAGTTCCTATTTTCATTTGGAAGTAACATGTTTCCTTTCTTTTTCATGGTTGATGTGTCTCTTCTTTGATTTCTGCACACCTAATGGAAAAGTTGTCTCTTCCAACATTATGGAGTGTGTTTCCATATAAATAGGAAAAAACATTTATACGACTAGGTCTTTGGATATTGGTTCAATGGGGTGTGTTGTCCTTGGTTCTAGGTGGATGCAGCAGTGTAGTTTTCATGTAATTTTTTTCGGCTGCAGTCCACTCTAGTGGTATTTGTGAGTTTCTCAGTAGCCTAGGATGAGAGAGTTTATGGCAATGGTGGTACAACTTTGTCAAAGGTGGGCTTGCTGGGCTGTTTCTCAGGTTAGGGAACACCTGTATGCACACAGTGGGTTGGCCAACTTAGGGTCTGGTTCACTGGTATGGGAGGCACAAGGCTGTTACCTGGCCAGAAACACAGGCACACAGGACTTGCTTCTGTGGGGTGTATCACACAGGACTCCTTTATAGGCCTGGGATGCAGACAAAGGCCTATCTGGCTGACCTGGGGCATACTGTTTCTCAGGCCCACAAGATTGCTTTTCAGGCCCAGACACAATTGCATGGCTGTTTGGCTGGGCCTAGTGGCATGCTTGCTAGGGGCAGCCCACAGAGCTGTTTGTCAGGTCTGAGACACGGTCGCACAGCTTATCAGCCAGCCTGTGTGCCTGTCTGCTAGGGGTCATCCGCAGGTCTATTTCTCAGGATTGAGACATGGGTACAGGGCTGCTCAACTTGCCTGGAAATATTTCTGCTAGGGGTAGCACACAAGGCTTTCATAGGCCCAGGCCTCAGGCACAATGCAACTTGGTTGGCCTGAGTGAATGCTCACCGGAGGTAGCCCATGGGGCTGCTTCTTAGGCCTGGATGCAGGCACAAGGATGCTCAGCTGGTCTGGGGATGTTTCTGCTGGGTGGGGGTCCACAAGGTTGTTTCTCAGGTCTCAGGCATGGGTACACAGCTGTTCCACTGACCTGGAGGCATTTCTGCCAGGAGCAGTTCCCAGAGCTGTTTCTCAGCATCTGATAACAGGCACAGGGTAAGTCAGGGACTTGTTTGCAGTGGGAGGGTACCTCAGGGCTATTCCTCGGATCCTGGGCACAGGCATATGGTCATTCTACCCTGGGAAGTATGTCAGTTGCTAAGAGACTTGAGGGACTTTCTTGCTCAGGGGAAGGCATGCAGCAGTTTGACCAGCTCAAAAGTGGGTTTGCCCTGGGTAGGACAACTAGACTGTTCCTCTAGCTGGAAGTGAGGATGGTGGGAGTTTGTTTCCCTGCTGTGCAGGCTCCACATTGCTAGGATTGTATTCAGCCACTAGTGTGAGCTTGGTGAAACGAAGATGGAATCCCAGTGCTAGAGAGGTACAATAGCTCCTGGCTCTGAGAGGAGGGCATGCGTCAGAGGTGACTCTGTTCTCAAGATGGCACAATGCTGCAGCAGTTTGGCTCCCAAGGGGTCTCAGGGAGGTAGAGAGTGCACACCTTGTGTTCCTGATCCAGGTAATGCAGCTACAAATTCCTGGCAGTTCTCCAATCTGGGAAACTGGGAGTCTCCCGTTATAGGTACTGTAGGTGTTTGCAGTGGTGATGGAGCTGGTGGGGATCTTCTACTTAGCTTCTTCCACAACAGGAAGGCCCTCCTGAATCCAATCATATCTAATCTAAGTGGGAAAGATGGGGCTGCAGAGGCTGAGTGCCTCCACTCAGCGGGGGAGTAAAGCGGACTTGCAGTCACTCCAGGTGTGTCACCATTCCCCCGCTTTATTCCCACACTCTCCCTTCATCACTCCGGTCAAATCTTAGTTGTTTTCATTGCCTTGGTCTTTTCTTGTGTCAGGGAATGATTACCAGACATCTCTAGCCAGTCATCTTACTGACATCGCTCCTCTCTTTTTTTATGAGGGAACTAAACAATGTCATACAAGAAGAGGGACTGTTTGCTTCCTTTTACCAAATGTAATGAGGTCAGTTTTGCTCCCCTGGCTAATATTTTTAAAAGTCTTTAGCAACAATACCCAAAGTAAGATACACGTATTAGACCCCAAGCTGGTTTTTTAATGTTCCTATTAACAAAGTCGTTTACTTGCTATATTACATTTAACATCATGTATATTAAAATAAATAATATGTTTGTGGTTTATTATATATTTTGACAGCCTGTTTTAGCTAACCAGCACTCTTCTTTTCCTTAATTCTAGTGGGAGATTGGGGGTAAGTGAACTATAAATGCCAGACCAATTTTGATCTGTTTGCTTGGTCATCAAACTATAACTTGCAGACTTTCAAAATCCAGCCAACAGGCTGCTTTTGTAAATAAAGCATTATTAGAACACAGCTTTATCTTTTTTATAGTTGTGTTATATTAAGTACCTTAAATAAATTGACTCTCCTTTTTAATAATGGCTTTATTTAGATACAATTCATACTGTATAATTCACCTATTAAAAATGAGTGATTTTTACTAAATTCAGAATTGTGTAACCATACCACAATCAATTTAGAACATTTAAATCACCAAATATCTCACCTATGAGCAATTATTCCTCTTTCCCCCATTCAGCCCTAATCAACCAGTAATCTCTTTATCTGCTTTTATAGAATTGCCTATTCTGAATGTTTTATATAAAAGGGACCGTACAATATGAGATCCTTTATGACTAGCTTCTTTCACTTAGCATAATGTTTTCAGGATTTAGCTATGTGGTAACATGTATCAGTATTCATTCCTGAATAATATTCCATTGTATGGATATAGTGCGTCACGTGTTTATCCATTCATCAGATGATGGGCATTTGTTTTGTTTCTACTTTTTGACTGTTATGGATGATACTGCAGTAGACATTTGTATACAAATTTTTATGTGGGCATATTTTTTTCCCTTAGATCTTATATCTAGAGTAGAATTTCTGAGCTATGTAGTAACTTGGTGCTTAACTTTTTAAGGAAGTCTTAGACTGTTTTCTAAAAAAAGCTGTACCATTTTACATTCCCACCAGCAGATTATGAAGGTTCTGATTTCTCCACATGCTTGGCAACACATATGATCTTCCTTTTTTATTATAACCATCTTAGTGGGTATGAAGTGGTATCATAATTTGTGGTTTTGATTTGTATTTCCCTGAAGTTTAATGATGTTGAGCATCTCTTCATGTGTTTATTGGCCATGTGTGTATCTTCACTGGAGAAAAGTCTGTTCAGATCATTTGCCCAAATTTAAATTGTGTTATTTATCTTTTTATTATTGAGTTCTAAGTGTTCTTTATCTCTTCTTGATATGTTTCTTATTTTCTCCCATCCTGTGGGTTGTATTTTCACTTGTGCAAATGTTTTTTGAGTCGTGATAAAATATAATTTGTTTTTTTCTTTTGATTTGTTGTTTGCGCTTTTGTATCATAATTTTAAAGTCACAAAGATTTACACCTATGTTTTCTTCTGAGAGTTTTATATTTTTTCCTCTTACCTGTCAGTTTCAGATCTATTTTGAGTTAAACTCTGTATATGAATTGAATTAATTTTTGTATATGATTTGAGGCCTCATCTTTTGCACATCGATATCCAGTTTTGGCCCTTGTTTTAAATGTTTTTTGAGGTTTGTTTTTTTTTTTCATTTTAGGCCCCTGCACAGTGTCCAGGACAATGGCAGTGGGGTGTTCAGTATCAGGTGAATATTAACTTTCAATATCTAATTTAAAATACTTCTTTCATTGTCTTGTGAAGGCTACATGAATACTAGTCAGGAGAACTCAATTTGACACCTTCCTCTTCTATATGTTAGCTTTGACCCCTTTGACAATTTATTTAATCACAAAATTCTCCATTTTTTTATTTGTGAAATGGATTTAATAATACTATACCTTTGTACATTTCCTTACATGGTTTTTGTGAAGTGCAAATGAGATTGTGTAAGTGAAAGCATTTTATAAGTGAGTACTGTTTAAATGAAAAATCACATTTTTTTATACTATTAGTATTATTTGAAAATTTAGCATTTTTCTAGCTACACTTCATTCAGATTTTGCTTTGGTATGGCTTATGCTCCTAAATAAGTATTCCATTTTCCAACTTTTGCTAACAAATAATATACCACCAAAAAGATTGTTTGCTGACATTTTCCTACTTCTGTGGGAAATCACAAAGCTGAGAGTATTTATGCCTATTTAAATTCTATAGGTCATATTAGTACAACTTTTAATGGTGATATTAATATATCCATATTATCTGAATTTATGTATGAGGTTCTGAGTCATTAAGAACTTTTAGTACTTAGCAGTGATAAGGTTCTTTAGTGACATCTATACAATTGGAATTGTATTCCTAGTTTGTTGCAAAGGTACTTCTGTGCCATCCCTGAAAAAGAATTTTAGGAAAATATGAAAAAAATACTTCTCTCATCTGTTGGGTAAGTCATTTGGTTTAGTAGAAATAACTAATAATATTTTAATTAGTATTGTGGTTTTATGTTTTAGTCTTCTTGCTCTTCTGCTCCATTCTTATATCTGCAACCTTCTGAGGTTATTTATCAACCAGTGGAAATTACACAAGATGGTGGATGTGTTCCTCCTCCCCTGTCTCTGATGGAAGCCTCAGTTCCAGAGGTATGTATTAGCTTAAAGTAATTGATCTATAAACTACCTCATCTTAACATTTATTTCTTTTTCTCTTTTTGAAATTTGGTCAAACCCCTCACTTAAACTGCTTCATCTTATGTTTTCTTTTATTTATTCCCTTCCCATTTTTTACATGTAAGAATGCTTCCTCTTAGACTTAGACTAGTTTTCTCGTATCAGCTGTTCACTCCACTAGACCAATCTTTGACATGATCTCTTTGAAACAGTAAAATACCAAATGCTTTGCCTTTACATTTTGCCTCTCTTGCTAACATTCTGTCAGTCAAAAGCATATAATTAAAGCCAAAGAAGAAAAAAAATCTAAAAATAAAACTCTTTCTTCAAAAATGTAAATTAAACTTGTAACTACAAATTGTAAATATCATCTTCAGTGTATTTAAATTATGTTCCTGATCCATTACTAATAGCCTCATCATCTATGTGCCAGGAACTCTGTGTGGTATGTTTTAAGTGGGTGTTGTAAAAGATTAGGAAATTAGCACTTACCTCCCAATTTGAGTACAGTGGTTTTATTATTTTTATATTGTTAAGGTTAAAACATCATAATTTTGCATTGAAGCTATAATTTTCACAGTTAGATCTTAATGTTTGCTGTCAGTACTTTTACTAGGATTTCTCCATTCTTTGTTTCACCCCAATTTATTTTTTTGTTGTTGTTGCTTTTTTCTTTTTTGTCCCGGATTTACTGAAGTGTAATTGACAAAAATAGTATATATTTAGTGTACAACATGATGTTTTGATATATGTATACATTGTGAAATGATTATCCCAATTAAGCCAATCCATCATTTCACATTGTTATCCTTTTTGTGTTTACAGTGAGAAGATTTAGGGTACACTCTCTTAGCAATTTTTAGGTATATAATACATTATTATTCACTGTAGTCATTATGCTATACAGCAGATCTCTGGAGCATGTTCATCCTTTCTAACTGAAACTTTGTATCCTTTGACCAATACATCTCCCCATCCCATACCCCAGCTCCTAGCAATCACCATTCTACTCTCTGCTTCTATGAGTTCAGCGTTCTCAGATTCCACATATAAGTGATATCATGCACAATTTGTCTTTCTATGCCTGGCTTATTTCACTTAGCATAATGTCCTTCAGATTCATTCATGTTATCACCAATAACAGGATTTCATTCTTTGTTAAGACCCAACAGTATTCCATTGTGTATATAGATTCCACATTTTTTTATAGATTCCACATTTTTTTATTCATTCATCCATTGATGGACATTAAAGTTGATTCCGTATCTTGGCTATTGTGAATAATGCTACAGTCAACATGAAAGTGCAGATGTCTCTATAACATACTGATTTAAATTCCTTTGGATATATACCCAATAATGGGATTGCTGGACTGTATGGTAGTTATTTTTTAACATTTCGAGAAATCTCCAAACTGTTTTCCAAAATGTCTGTACTAAGTTACATTCCCACCACGGTTTACAAGAGTTCCCTTTTTTTCCATATTCTTGTCCAAGATCAATTTAGTTGTTAGTAAAGTCCCTTTTTATCACACATTTTCTGTATTGGACTAGAGTATGACTACTTCTTTTTCCACCCTCACCCTGCTTTACCTCTAGCAGTGTTCCTCAGGTAAAAGGCTAGATAGTAGACAACAGAAATTGAGTAAACATGATTTCTTCTTCAATTCTACCTCTTCTATTATTAAGCAGTATAAAATTGGATCTCTGTGGAGATATTACCTGCTTCTACCTTTGTCTGGCTGTATATACTCATATACCCAAAACTCTAAAGAATCTCTGAATAGGTCTTCTAGTACTTTGACCTCTAGGGAAACTTTATCCTTCCTGTTTTCTGAGGCCTTAGAATCCTCCCTCAAATTGGTCCAAATTTCATAGCACTTGGTAGATAGTCTATATTGTGTGTGGTTTGGGAATCATTCACATTTTTTTATTTAATGATGGCATTTTTTAAATCTTTTTTTCTTCTTCTTCTTGTTTTCTGGTTTGCAAGGAACAGATAGTAATGGAAAAAAGTGATTTTCCATTAGATTTTTTTTTTACCAGAATCACTTTTGTCATTATACCAAATTCTTAATTCCTGATATCAGATACTTATCAGAATGATATAGTCACTGTTTAACAAATATGGTGAGGTTTTTCTGAAAATATTACTCATTATTATCTTATACTTTGTATGGTATTTCCATACAAAATGATATTTGTATGCTTTTACTTTAAAAGTTTCTAGTATAAAGTATAATCTGACTAATATATAACTTAATTAATAGAGTGGGATAGTTTATAGTTAAAAACTGCAGGACTTTTCTTGCGGTATAGTCATTTCCTTTTTTTTAAATGTTAGAATCTTCACTCACTTATTTCCGTGGTTATTTTACACCTTTGCCAAGCCCTCAGTACTACCAGTTCCCCAAGTAAGTTGAAACCAATTTGTGGAAACCAGCTTGGTTTCCAGCCCCCAACATGCAAACTTACCTGAATCCTAACTCATCTTTAGCTTCTTATATGTATTTAAGTGACATTCAGTCTTGTCCAAGGTTATTTCTACCCCTAGTGGTCTGGATACTATTAGTTCCCTCCTTCTCAGGCAGTTCATTCCATCTGTTATTCTTTTTTCCTCTTATATTTTAATCTTCTTTCCATTGGGTCACAGCTTCACCACTTACTAACTGTGTTACTTTGAGAATTGCTTAACTCTTCATAGTCTTGTTTTCATAATCCTTATTTGTAAAATGAGGACATCCAGGAAATCTATTTTGCAGGATTGATATAGTGACTAACACTTATAAGAGACAGTTGTTATAAGAAAATGACTGATGGTACTGGGAAACTATGGGGGGGGAGGGGGATGGGATTAACAGTAGCAAATATCTGTCGGGGGATGGGAAAACACTTCTTATCTACAGGGTGCCTGAATGAAACGTCATTGTACACCTAACCCTTAACTGTACCCCACAAAACTATAATAAAAAATACTGATTAATGAAAAAATAAATAAATAAACTTTATACCACTCAGATTTCAAAAAAAAAAAAAAAGAGGCAGTTGTTATATTGTGACACACACACCCCCATCAATGCCTAATTTTCTTCTGCCTTTCAAAGGCAAGTTTCTTGAAAAAGTTGTCCACATTCAGCATTTCTGCTTCACTACCCATTCACCCCTGCTAGAGTCGGCTTTATTACCTTTCTGCTGAAGCTGACTTTGATAAAAGTCCTCAACGACTTCCTAATTGCCACATACTTCCTTTCCTTTTTAATCTTATCTCACTTCTCAGAGACATTGTACATATTCTTTAAAACTCTTCCTACCCTCAGTTTTCATGACACTACTCTCTTCTGGCAATCCTTTCACCTTTTTTTATTTTTCTTAAGCTAATTTCATATTGGGTTCTCCATGCTTTCACCATGTATACTCACTCTGATGTTGTCATCCATATCCGTACCTCTAGCCCCCATCTCACTCCTGAGTTTCAGACTGCACTCTTTAGACTGCCCTAGCCATGTGTAGTGACTAAGCATGTGGCAAGATCAAATTGAGATGTTGTAAGTGTAAGATATATACTAGGTTTTGAAGATACAGTATGAAAAAAAGAATGTAAAACATCTCAATGATTTTTATATTGATTTACTTTTAATCTGATAATATTTTTAATATATTGGTTTAAATAAAATATGTTACTAAAAATTAATTTTACCTGTTTATTTTTACTTTTCTAATATGACTACTGGAAAATTTTAAATAACATATGTAACTCATATTATATTTCTATTTGGCCATGTCACTCTAGAGCCATGTATCTATCAACAGTACCTCGACTAGAATTCCTACAAATACCACAAACTTTGTATGTCACAAACCTAGCTCCTTCTCTTCAGCCCTATCATATACAATTATATAAACATTAAACTTTCCTTGTATTCCTTTTTTTTTTTTTTTTTTGAGTCAGAGTCTCACTCTGTGCCCAGGCTGGAGTGCAGTGGCATGCTCATGGCCACCGCACCTCAACCTGCTGTGCTCAGGTGATCCTTCCATCTTAGCCTTCCAAGTAGCTGGGACCACAGGCACATGCCACCACGCCCAGCTGATTTTTTGATTTATTGTACAGATGAGGTCTTGCCAAGTTGCCCAGGCTGGTCTCGAACCCATGGATTCAGGCAGTCCTCTCACCTCAGCCTCCCTTCCCCTGCCTGTTGCTCTACTGCCTCATCTTTCAGCTGCCCCTTTGTATATAATCTTCCTTTGAGCCATACCAAGCAACCTCAGCAGATCTCTCCCATAAAGTGTGTTCTTATCTGCATCTATGCCTTTGCTTATGCTGCTCCCTCATTCTTTCCCTAATTCTTCAAACTCAAGCTCTATAGGAAATCTTCCCTGACCACCTTCCTCAGCTCTCTTAGGCCAAATCAAGTAGTTCTCCCATACATCCCTATACATGTTTCTGAAGCTTATGGTAATTTTGCTGTCTATTTCTCTGATCAGACTATAAGTTAATTAAACATAGGGAATATGGGGGTTTTTTTATGTTTCTCCATTGTGTAGCAAAATGTTCAGTATATTGTAAAGAATAAATATTCTAAGTTAATAAATGAAAGGTAATCTCTCTCTCTCTCTCTCTCTCTCTCTCTCTCTCTCTCTCCCTCCCCCCTTTCCTCTCCCTCTCCCTCTCTCCCACGGTAATAGCCTTATTCTGATCATGGAGTTCAAGCAACATATCACCAGGTTTATGCTCCAAGTGCCATTGCTATGCCTGCACCTGTGATGCAGCCTGAACCAATTAAAGTAAGAAGTTTGTTTTGATTTTTTCTGTTTTTCTTCAGTTATATTTCAAATTTTCCAAATTTCTCTTTTAGAAAGGAATAACTCTGTGTATTTATATCACATTTGTAATCAGAAGTTCAGAATTAGTGAATGCTTTCATGTGAAGGAAATAGAATTCCAAATTCACCATTATGGTCACATTTTTTATATATACCTTAAGATTTACCATTTAAACCATTTTAAGTGTATAATTCAGTGACACTGATTACATTAATGTAACAAGAATTACTGTAACAAGAAACAAGAATTATGTCTATGCAATGATTATCACTATTTCTAAACATTTTCATCACCCCATTAAGTAATAACACCTCCTTCATGTTTCCCTCCTCCCCCTAGTCCCTGGTAGCCTCTAATCTACTTTTTTGTCTCTATGAATTTTTCTATTCTAGATATTTAATATACAGTTCTTCGATTTTGATTATCTGTGTCGATGGCATGTGACATTTATGGAAAGATGAAAACAGTTAGCGATCTCCTCCTCCAATTTGGGAATTGTGTTCATGCTTCCTTAATCAGATTCAGTCCAAAGAATGATAACCTAGTTTGATCCATGTATATATCCAATATATTTTGACTGTCTACTATGTAGCAGGGAATTCTTCCTATTCCCTCATGACCAAGTTTCTTAATGATACCCTTGCATTGCATCATCACTTTAGGAGAATGACCCTTATCTCCAGTGAAGAATCCACAGACGGATCAACTGTTGATAGTAATATGAATCTTGTGTCAGTGTACTTTGAGGAATGTAGGTATACTCTTTACATTAAAATGACTGAGAGTAGCTATTTCACAGTCATATTTATGCTTCTGACACATTCTATGTGTTGAACTCAATACCAAGATAATCTACTTTAAGGAGCCTCCCCACTGTCTCATATCCCCTCACCCCATCCTTACTCACTGCCATTACCATTCACTGCATCCCATCATTGCCTGTATCATTATACTACAAACATGAAATAAAACCATTATTTTGATGTCAAAATCTAGAGTATAAAACATTATTTACAGAAGCTTCACTTTTAGTGTTGTTAGAAAATCTTCTAAAACAGGCTTCTTCTGATTATAACATTTACTCCAAATATACGTCTGTGGAACTAACTGATATTGCTATGCCATATTACATAAGTGCTAGTTATTTTTCAGTTACTAAGATAGATAGATAGATAGATAGATAGATAGATAGATAGATAGATAGATAGATCACAGATTATGGAAATCGTACTGCTTGAATAATTCAAATAGAGGACAGAGTGGTGAGTGGTACTAGAATAGGAAGAATTCCCAAAGAATGCTAATGTTAAACATTTTAAAGGTTTAATTTAGTTTAATAGTATGCACTTATCTAAATTTTCGTAGATCTGTGTATGTTACAGCAGAAATTACACAAGAGAAAGTGATATCTTACTCTTTAAGTTAGCCACATAAAAAGTACCAATTCCCTTTTTGTTAGAGATAACAAAATTAATAACTTCCTAGATCAAAACTGGAATACAGGTCAATTATATATGATTTTGTATTTCTTATTTCTGTTTTTTTAAGGTTAAGTGTTCTATAAATTTTATACTCGATATTTTGTGATTTGGTGCACTCAATAGAAAATGTTACCCCACTCAGAAACTGCAAAACCACTTATATAGTTTTCCAGAATTGTACAACCTTGTAGAAGTGCTTTAATATGCAAGTATTACTGTGTAGCAAATTGTCTATAGTGCATTTGTATTATAACATGGAAATCTTGATATGTAAATATTGCTATACATTAGGAAATGATCTTTTTCTAAGACATTTTACCAGTTTTTAAATATTAATAAATGACATTTGAAATATTAGCCTTTTTTACTTCCAATGCAAATTTTCTCTGGTACTAAAAACCTTGTTGACTTTTAAAACAGAAAAGTAGAAATAGTCTTTGGAAGAATTTGAGCCTGTTGTTTTTATAAGTCATTTAAAAAACTCTAATGATTAAAATATTATGAATGTTAATTGGGTCTATCCCAGAGTAGTAATTTCAGGTGTCAAAACTATCTTGAAGCAACAGATCTAATCCTTAAAATAGAGACCTTAAGCAGAGCTCAGAGCACAAGTCTAACTACTATAAACTACTGTATATCAGAAACCACTCATAGACTGTAAGCCACAGACTACTCTGTCAAATCAAATACAAAAACATGTAAAGACAAAGAGGTCAATATAGAGACTACTAGATTAATATGCTGTCAGTTAAGGCTATCATTCCCTAATTCAGCAGTAACATCTTATACAGAATTAAGTTTAAAGTGAAAAAAAGCAAAACCACATAATGTCAAAATTATCCCACAGAACTAGACTAGGAAGAACAAAAGGAAAATCTTTATGTTTGGAATATATGAACTATGAAGCTTTTAAGATAAGTATCAAATCTCAAGGTTCATATGAAGGGTATTGAGTGAAGAGTTACAAAATGTTTCTGTTTCCTTTACAGTATTTTTTCATTTTTGCATTAATGTAAATGTCTAATAAAATTGTTCTTATAACGATTGAGATACTGGAAACTGAAGAAATTATAATTTGAGTTCACTTTGAAGTTAAACGTGTATTTTAATTAACTCCCGTGTGTACTACTAGCTATCCATGAAAATATATGAATGTTTAACTACTTGCCAAGCTATGAGGAATTTATTCTAATTGAAGCACTGATTGAATTTGACTGAAAAACACAACTAGTGGCCTATATGCACCTTTCCCTTTGGAAAGAATGTATGATTCCGAAGTAAATTGGAAAGGGATCTCAACTACCATCACTGTCTACTACTTTCTTTCTCTCTGTCACCTAGACTGGAGGGAATTGGCACACTCACAGCCACCACAGCCTCAACCTGGTGGGCTCAAGCGATGATCCTTCTGCCTCAGCCTTCCAAGTAGCTGGTACCACAGGCGTGCGCCACCACACCTGGCTAATTCTTTTGATTTATTATAGGGACGAGGTCTCGCCAAGTTGCCTGGACTGGTCTTGAACTGGTAGGCTCAGGCAATCCTCTTGCCTCAACCTCCCAAAGTGCTGGATTACAGGCATGAGCCACCACACCTGGCATTGTCTACGTCTAAATGCTACTTTTTAAAAAAAGATTTCATTGTCTTCCTATTTCCTAATTTCAGTATCATTAATGCTTCCTATAAATCAGTTTAGAGACTAAAATTCCCTTGTATTCAGCAAGACTTAAGGAGGACAAGTGCAAAGCATCAGACAGCATTAGCAACAAAAGCTTCCACAGTTAGGCATTAGAAATTGTATAGGTGTGTCAAGCCTCCTTCTTGATGTAAATCTAAGAGAGGAAATGAGGACAATAAGGAGAATGGAGGGCTCATGAAACCAACCTGTTAGAATTGTCATGGGTAGATTTCCACTCAGTATAGACTATATGGATTCTGTGAAAAAAATGTTTGCATATGGCACTACACTGAAGGTAAGGATGAATAATATAAATACATATACACATATAAGATATATGTATAAGAGGAAATTAAATAAAAACTTTTAAATATGTTCCATGATCTTAGTAAAAATATCTTTAAAAAGTAACTGCAAACTGGAAAAAACAGTAAAAATGAAATTAGAAGTTGATACATACATATGAAATATATATACAAATGATAGTATAAGAAAATACTGCACATAACTATGGATATCCTGAAAATAATTAAATTTGTCTTTGCCTATATGGCTAGTAGTTATAGTAGAAAATCAAAATACTTGATAAAGAATTGTTTTTAATTCTCCAATATGGAAAAGAAGATAATATGAAAGATGAAATTATGAAAGATAAAATGCTAGAATAGAAAGGGCAGAGAGATAAGTCCAACAAAAAATAGTAATTCTCAAAAAAAGAATATTGAATAAATGGAACAGAAAGAATGTGCAGAAATTTTCATAGTAAGACAAAAACACCCTAACCTGAATTTAGAAGTCAAAAAAGGATTCACCATGCTTCAAACAAAATTAATAAGAGGCAATCTATACATAGATATCCTGGCAATTGTCTTCCCCCAGGCCCTGCCCCAATCAAACATCCTGGTTCTTTTAACTTTTTTTAAACATTTTATTTTAATAATAATTTTATTACAGAAATGTTGCAAAAGACAATACAGAGAGTTTCTGTATCCCTTCACCCAACTTCCCCTAATTTTAACAACTTACATAATCATAGAACCATTAACAAAACCAAGAAATTAACATTGGTATAGTACTATTATATAAACTACAGACTCTTTTCAGATGACCAGTTTTTCTACTAATGTTCTTTTTTCTGTTCTAGGATGTAATCTAAGATCCTGGCTGGGCTCGGTGGCTCAGCCTGTAATCCCGTGCTTTGGGAGGCCGAGGTGAATGAATTGCCTGAGCCTGAGGTTTCAAGACCCACCTGGGCAACTTGGCAAGACCTCATCTCTACAATAAATCAAAAATTAGCCGGGCGTGGTAGTGCACACCTGTAATTCCAGCTACTTGGAAGGCTGAGGCGGAAGGATCGCTAGAGCCCAGCAGGTCGAGGCTGCAGTGGCCGGGAGCGGCCACTACACTCCAGTCTGGGTGACAGAGTGAGACTCCAACTCAAAAAAAAAAAAAAGGTCCTGCATTACATTTATTTGTCATGTCTTCTTATTCTCCACCAATCTGTGACATTTACAGTCTTTCCTTGTCTTTCATGACCTTGATACTTTTTTAAAGTATCATTTTGTAGAATGCCCTTCAATTTGGGTTTGGCAGATATTTTCTCTTTATTAGATAGAAATTGTAAATTTGGAGCAAGAATGTAACAGAAGTGCTATGCCTTTTACCATGTTCATATCAGAGGAGATGAGATACTAATATGGTTAATTACTGGCAGTGTTAATTAACTTTGATAACAATAAGCATAAAAAGTAACTTGCCCACAGTGGCATAGTTGAATAAGTGGCAGATCCAGGATTTTAACCCAAGCACCCTCTCTGCCTCAGAAAAGAGGTTAGCTGGCCCTCTGAAGTCCCTACGGGGAAGATCACTGAAAAATCCACCCACACAAATAGAACTTCCCACTAGGACTTTAGTGCTCCCTCTTAACTACAGACATGCAGTCACACTGGAAGAAAGTCCCTAGAGTGAGAGAACAAACAGAAATTCAGATCAAATATATAATTCAGGGAGCAGAAGAAAATATCAAAGAAACTATAATTAACATCATTTCAAAAATAAGTAAAAACTAATGAGAAGTGGTCCCTGCATAGACAACCTGACACTTTTTTCTCAAATATCTCAATCCTTTTCATTCTTTTACCTTTATATTTTGAAATGATTTTAGATTTACAAAAATAATAAAGAGTTTCTGTGTATTCTTCACCCTACTGTTTTTTGATTGAGGACACTGGCACAGGAAATGAACACTTTAGTACAATTCTCTCAACTAAACTATACATCTTATTTTAAACTTTCACTAGTTTTTCTACTCTTGTGATAACTAAAACAAATTACCTGTGAAAAGGATAGGCATTAAAGGCAAAAGCTTACAGAAAGAAGAACAAAAATGACTAAAGCAAATAATAATAGAGAAAAAATAAAATTTGAAGTTTAATCTAAGAAGTCAAATATTTCATTGTTATAGAAAGCGAAATAGAAAAAATAGTTTGGAGGAAATTATCAACAAATTAATATAAGAAAATCCTAGCAACTTAATTTAGCCTCTAAATTGAAAGGGCCTTAGCACAGTTACCTCAGAAGATGCATATTAAGGCAAATTATTGTGAAGTTTCAGAATGGCAGGAAAAAATTCTAAAATCTTCTAAAGAGAAAAAGAAAACAGATCAATTTCCCCTTTCTCTTCATCTTATCCATTTTATTCACATAAATTTTACAAAAACTTGTCTCAAATTATCATGTGACCTGGAAATAAGAATGTCTCAATGGACATCAAAGTGTCAAAGTGGACATACTTTGGAAGAATATCTAGTATAATTTTGTATTACCAAAGTGGTAATTTTCTGCTTACTTTTTCATTATGCAGATTTAAGATAGGATTCTATCTATTTGAATTAATTTTTCTACAAACAACTAAATTGTATAAAAGACACTGAAAATTTTCATACTTTTTTTTTGCCCATTCTTTCTTCAGTACTCTAGTCTAAAGAAACTACCATTCACGAAACAGTGTGATTTAAGAGTACTGTGGTTTTTGTTTATGTTTTTTATTTTTATTTTTTAGACACAATATTGTGCTTTGTCACCCAGGCTGGGGTGCAGTTGCGTGATCATAGCACACTGCAGCCTGTACTTCTCAGGCTCAGATGACCCTCCTGCCTCAGCCTCTGGGGTAGCTAGGACTAAAGGTGTATGCCACCACTCCCAGCTAATTTTTTTTTTGAGTTGGAGTCTCACTTGGTCGCTCAGACTGGAGTGCAGTGGCCACTCTCAGCCACCGCAGCCTCGTCTGCCGGGCTCCGGCGATCCTTCCGCCAGCTAATTTTTTTATTTTCTGTAGAGATGTGGTCTTATTCTGTTGCCCTTGCTCTGAGGCTGGTTTCAAACTCCTTGCCTCAAGCAATCATCCAGCCTCAGCCTCCTAAAGTGCTGGGATTTTAGGCATGAGCCACTACACCCAGCCCCTCAGTGATTTTCTTAATAGCATCTGGGCACTCATCTCCTGCCTCTTGATTAGCAGAAGGTGCTTCTCTTGTTATCTTATTTTTTAAACCAAATCTCTTTCTAAAATTATTAAACCATCCTTTACTGTCATCAAATTCACCAGCTTTAGACTCTTCTTCGTTTTGCTTTAAGTTGTCATATAACGACTTTGCTTTTTCTCAAATCATATTGGAGACTATAGGTATGCCTTTTTTATAGCAATCCTGCACCCACATAAAAGCTGCATTTTCAATACAGGATAAAAAAGGTACTTCACAAAAAAGCATAAGCTCTTTGGACTTGCTGGCATAGCCACAGTGGTGGCTTCACAAATATCCTTTTCTTTTCCTTTTTTTTTTTTTTATACAATGGTCCTTACACTGGATTCATTTATCTTGAAATGGTGGACAGTTGCAGCCGCAGACCTCAATCTGCAGTATATATCAAACAATTCAACTTTTTCTTCTTCTTCTTCATGGTTATTCTGTGCTTCTGTGGGATCACTTCAAGCATCGCTATCGGCATTTCATATGGGTCCCACTGTGTTTTTCAAGGCTTACAGTATTGCACTAAACACCAAAAATCATGTGAAAACCGAGAGAGGTTACTTTTTACTTTGATACACAATTAACTGCTCACTCAGAAATGATTATCATCACATGGCATCTTAAGCAGATACTCGCAATATTTGAGCTCTTTGCAATAGCAATAAAAAGTGACTGTAAAATTATTATAGTAGCACAGTATGAACTACAGTTAATTTTATGCAGTTTTTATGTAATATTGCATTATTACATTTGTTTACACTTCTCTCAACTGCAAATGACGCCATATACAGTCTTTAAGTGGTGTTTGTGTACTTATATTTTGATAAATTTTAATTTTTATAATTTGTGTAGTAAATTATAGGATAGATTCTGTATATATTTTATGCATTCATGGCATACCATTTTCTTAATTTTTTTATATTTCTAGGATACACAGTTCCATCTGTTTTTTCAAATTATTGCAAATACTCAAAAAAGTTCTGATTTATTTATTGAAAAAAAATTCATATATGAGTGGACCCATGCAGTTTAAACCCATGTTGTTCAGGGGTCAACAGTACTGATTTATCACCCCACTGCTAATTCCCTTTTCAAAGCTCTGTCATTGGCTAATAGGATTACTATATATTTCTTGAAGACTTCTCCATCTTCAGTTTTCATCATGCATAAAATCTGAATTTAGTTTTTTAAATCTGAAATTAGTTTTTTCTCTTGTATCACTCTCATCAACTCTTATCCACATCCTTACCATTAAATATTCTCTCTGGTTTTCCCATATTTATCAATCTAAATTATTCATATATGAACATAGTGAAGCTAGCACTGCTCCCTGTTCTCTCTAGCACATTAAGCTTTTAACCAAGTAATTTCACATACATAAAATAGTTTAAATTCACTTGTCTATTTCTCCTGAGAGAACCAGAACACACTGAGTTACAGCCAATAACCTATGGATAGTTGACTTAGCAATGAATAGCTGTATATTATCACAGTAGATTTTAGTCACTGAACAAACACTTACTGAGTATCTACTTTGTGCTTATCAGTATTCTAGACACTGAGAATAAAGCCGTGCACAGTATTAAGTGGTACTGGATAGTATTAAACAGGTCAAGGAAATCCAAGACAGCCTACAGACTTTGGTTTTAGCAAACCAAACGAGTTTGAATCTCTGGAGCCATGCTGTCTCCAGTATGGTACCCATTAGCCACGTGAGGCACTTTAACTTTACTCTTAAATTAAATGAAATTAAAAATGCAGTTCCTCAATGCACCTAGCCACACTTCAAGTACTAAATAGCCACATGTGACTAATGGCCACTTTATCTGACATTGTAGACATAAAACATTTCCATCAACATAGTTCTATCAGACAGCACTGCTCCAGAGATAGTGGAACAGATAGAAAATTTAGAGCCTATCCAAACTTAAAAATCATAGGACAGCTTGGTTCCCTAAATTAGGAGCTGGCTTAGGCCCAAAGTGCCAAAAAAGTAGTACCAACTAGGGTTGTTTTGGGTTTTTTTAATCCAAACTAGGTTTTTTTTGGTGCGAGGTACGGGGTGGAGGGCCTGGTTTGTTTGTTGTTTGTTTTTTGTATCGAGGTCTCACTCTGTTACGCAGGCTGGAATGCAGTGGTACAATCACAGCTCACTGTAGCCTCTACCTCTTGGGTTCAGGCCTTCCGCCTCATCCTCTCAAGTAGCTGTGACTACAGGCATGCACCACCACACCTGGCTAATTTATTTTTTATTTTGTTATAGAGACGAAGTCTTGCTCTGTTGCCAGGCTGGTCTTAAACTCCTGGACTCAAGCAGTCCTCCTGCCTCGGCCTCCCAAAGTGCTGGGATTACAGGCATGAGCCACCACACCTGTTCCCAAACAAATTAAAAAAAAAAATTCCAGGATAATACAGGTATATGGAATTGCCCTGGATCATATAGCACAGGTACCTATATACCTGTCTTGCCTGTGGCTACTTAAAGCACACTTTTGGGGTTTTTTATAACTTCTAAATAGTCTCCTTCTAAACACTACTCCCCCTTTAAAGACAAGTTTTTAAGCCCCACCTAACAGAAGGAAGGAAATGTAATAACTTGCAATTTGTGCTGACCTATTCTTCATTTTATATACTAAACATTGATGCTGTTACATTAGGCTAGAGACTGTCTAATACAGATTGTAAGCTCTCAGAGCGCAGGGAGCAAGTCTTTACTGAGTTCTGAATCTCCCTAATTGCTAGCTTTTCACTTTATAATGCTCTAATTTAAGTAGTATCAAAGTTCAGCAAGTATTTAGTAAATATTGATTAATGGTCTACACTCATTCATGCTCTAATTTCTTTTTTCCATTCAGTCTTCCTGATCTATATTTTCTCTTTGCTTAACAGACAGTGTGGAGCATTCATTATTAAGACAATTGGGCAGCTCTAGTCCAGCTCAACTGATTTCTTATCCAATGATCCTTGTGTGGCCAAGATCCAGCTTCAACAAACCGGCTAGGAGCTGCCCATTGTGAAACTTAGGGTTAGTTAATACCTCACCATACTTATTTGTTTCATTATAAGCTGTCTAAATTTGATGAAATTTACTTTTTCAGCTGTTACTCCAAAATTATTTAGGTAGATGTGGCATGTTGGGTTTTTTAATGTGCTAATCTAACTGTACCGACCTTTTCTACAATATGTTTTACCCATTCCATTAATAATAACCACATTGGGAATAGTGAGGTGTCTTTCATTTTCTCTGCCTTGTGTTAATTTTTTCTTCTCAGACCATTAGATGTTATGTTTCATATTCTTTGATAATTATTTTAGTTTTTAGGATAAGAATCAATTCTAATTCCAATAGAGTTTTAATACTTTCATATCTTATAGAACATAGTATATTACTTAGCCTTAATGATTTAGTTCTGTTACTTTTTTGCTATTTTGTTACCTAATGTGCTTTTCTCTAATTTTTTATTTGTTACTGCTATTCACTTAATTTTGCTTCTGCCATATTTCAGAATTTGAATAGTATTTACATTTCTTTCTTATAACATTTTTCAAATATTAGAAATATCATCAACATGATTAATAGTCTTGTCTTTTCATGTGATTAATTTGATTATATTACATTTTTTCTCTAATGTTTGAGATAATACTGCAATCCTCCTAATGTAACATAATTTATTTAGTACCCAGTTTTATGAAATTTGGATATACCTAGGGAATTTTGATAAAAGAACGGTTCACCTTTAACAAAAGCCCATAACACTGGTTGACATTTCATCATATTATTGTTCTTTGAATGCTTTAATCTAAATCTTTTCTTTTATGCCACCAATATATCCACCAATATATGTGATTAATTTTTAAAAGAACAATTGTTTTGTAAAATGCAAAACTATTTCTTACACCAAAGGAAAATTTTAGATTCTGATTTTAAATCCAATTCTTATTATAAAATTGGAAAATAGATGAGGAGGAAGTTATTCATTGTTCAGAAGTTAAGGAACAAATCATAAGAGTTTTAATCTGTAAAATTTCTACATTAGTACAAGAAATATCCCTCTTTACATTCACTTGCAGTTCGTTCACTGACTTCCTAATTTTAGGAAAGAGGGTGGAAAGCCATAAAAATTGGCATTATCCTAATAAAATCTATATCTTTCCTCTCCTATACCCTCCCCAAAATGTATTCAATGCTCCGTAGCAGCAGCAGAAATAATAGGATATAGATCCCAAAGTTTTTTCCTGATGAGTCAAATAGGGTGTTTTCTTTTGAAACCGTAAGTATGTTTGCAAGTCAGATGGTTTCATGAGGACAGTAGGACCCTAGAACTATATAACAGCATACAAGGATCTCATGTACATTATTTTGTTTTAGAAATGTAAATAGACTAAGTCCCACAGTGAAATCTTAAAAGTTTTCGTTCTATGAGTAAAAAGTTATTAACCACTGATGTTAGAGATTTTCTTTCAGTAACACTATTCTTGAGAACCAAAAAGTTAATGTTTTGATTTTCAAAATGTTAAACAATATGCTAAACAAATCCTGGACTATTAATAAAAATTAATGATGTATTATCAGATAAGGAATTTTGATAATAATTAATACCTAAATGTGTTTCTTCCACAGAGTTATATAGATTATGTACATATTCACACATATATATTATACAAGGGAGGGTTGGAAAAAAAAACAACTTATGTTTTGGAGGGTGGGCCTCTTGTAGTACAGGCTTCCTCCTCTAGGTAAGTGTTCCAGAATCACTGCATCAGTGTACCAGTTAGCATTCTTGTGAGGCTACATTCGACTACAGTGAATTTTTTTTTTTTTGGAGATTTTTTCAACACATTTGCCGATTTCTTGGGTGATTTACAAGTGCACCTGCCCACACTGTGCTGAGTGTTCAGCTGTTTTTGACCAAAAATGACCCCCATGCCTCACCCTTCCTATTCACCCAATCTCACCCCAAGCCATTTTTGTTTGTTTGTTTTCCCAGAGGAAAAAAGTCCTCAGAGGGGAATATTTTGCCCTTGTGGAAGAGGTGAAACAATAAATGTCAGAAACACTAAAATGCATTAAAATTGACAAGTTCAGAAACCGTTTTGAGCAGTGGAAAAAGCATCTTGATAGGTGTATTGCATGAAATGGAGAGTACTTTGAAGATGACTGAAGTTTAAACATGTAAGACTAAATACACAATTTTTTATAAATAAATGCCAGGTTTTTTGGTGTCCCCCATATATATACATATACAGATCATATGCATACACATATATACACATTATTTATATAAAAACCTATAAAATTTACACATATATGCTTTTTTATAATTTAGCTTTATTTTGAGAAACTAATAAAAACATTGGAATTTATTGACAATTAATGTCTGGAGGATATCATCCAACCTTCTTCATTACCTAGCTTGATAGCCCAAACATGTTATTTATAAAAACAGATAACAATGACAAAAACTCTCCTTACACATAATAAGTGGTGCCCATATTTTTTCTATTTTCTAGTATATCTCCAATAGCTAATTTTGAAAAGTAAAGTTTTACTTATTTAGGACTCATTCTTAAAGGGCAGTCTGAAGAAATTATCAGAAATTCACTCTGTATTAGAGTAAAATGGATAATGCAGATATTAGTACAGGTATCAAAATCACAAGATAATAACTTAGCACCGTCTTTTCCCAAAATCTCTAATACAACCAGAGATAGAAAGTAATATATAAAAAGATAAAAGATCTTGGAAAATTAACTTTAACTTCCTCAGCTGATTTCAGAACAATGGCTTGGGAAGAGGTATGGTTAAGTTTGTAACAGATTGCTTTATAAATTTCCATCAAGAGCAGTACAATATTTTTAAATAATTTTTTACATGGTAACTGCCAGATATAGGAGTGTCTCCTGGACTTAATGCCATACTTAAATTAATGCCATACTTAAATTAATGCTATACTTAATAGTGAATTGAGGTTACACAAAAAAAGTCTCTGTATCTTTCCTAGAAATTGTACTTGAATAGAATTAAAATACAGAATCAAAGAACTATAAAGGACTTTAGGAGAGCATACAATCCAACTTTGACATCATGCTTATTATTATATAATAAGTTGCTAACCTCTAGACCTATATTTTGATTAAAATTTTTTTTGAAATCCCTATAGACTTAAAAGAGACAAAAAGCAAAATTTTACCCAAAGAATGAAAATAAATAATATTCACGATTGTTGCTGTTTCTTTCAACTCACTGTTTTCATCCCTTTACATAAATCCCTAAAAATATAGCAGCAGCTTTCATCTTTCCATGTTGAATACCACTTTCTGCTTAGCAGCTGTGTAGTGGCTGCTGTTTGCTGGATTTACTATGTGTTTTTGTCTCTTTGTCTCTTTAATTTTATGTATTACATAAAATTGCTAATACTTTCTGCATTCTGCTTGTTCCTCTCAGAAATCAAGTGCTATTCAGGATACTTGTTTTACTTCATCGTCATTTTTTAATTTTTCATGTGACATAATCCTTCTTCAGTTTTATATATACTAGTATCCATGGTTATCTTTATGTCACCCACTTTCTGACCCATCAGGATCCACAAATGTAAAGCAGCAGACATAAGTTTCAAACTAGTGAACTAACAGATTAAGGATTTTTCAGCTTTATTATTTTTAGGCATGCTGCTTAAAATAGTATAAATTAATGTAATGCCAAGCCTGATTATAGATAAGTGAAAACACACAATAGCAGCTTGAATAAAGACATTTTATTTAAGCTATTGAGTGATACCATATTGATATTTGACTTATTTTTGAAACATGTCATCTATAAATTTTCTACCTATTGTCAGTTTTCCTTATTTGATAATTTATTAGTTAATAAAAGCAAATACTGGATTATTTATTAATAGTTGGGTGATAATTTTCTTAGTGAAGCTGCTATGTTAACCTTACTTTTGCATTTCTATCAGGGTATGTACTCAAAGTAATTGTCACTTAGTATTGCTCTAAAAGTGATATGAGTTATAAACACCTACTTGGTGTATTTCTTCCCTATGAATACAGGCGTGTGAGAACCGGCCTCTATACTTAGAGACTAAAGTCCTCTTCCTCCCCTGCTGAGTCTTCTCCTCACTAAGGAAATGAATAACTGGTTGTTCATCAAAGAAAAAATTGAGGACCCTAGATTCTCACATTTCTTTGGGATGTACCTGTAAGATTTTGGTATGCCCTTAGGCTAAAGAGAGAATCTCTAATAAGAAAGTTATTTGATTAGACTCTTTTTTCTTCTCCATTTCCTCCTCATGGTCTAGTAAAGGTAAAACACAGCTCTAAGAGTTTTTCTTTCCTGTGAAAAACAATTTTTAGGAGGTGGTAGTTCTTTGTGTATTTTATTTTATAATGAGAGTCAAGTTTTTCCCAAAGTATAAAGAATTTAAAGTTACCGCCCCTAACTTCTTAGCATTTATTTTCTCCCATTGCTTACCACTGATAACTTTTGTGGCTCTCTCTCTAGATCTTCTTTTTGATAGGTTTCAGTGCTTAAAAAAGCAGTTTTCTCTTTGGAAATTCCAACCTAGAAAATCAAATTATACCATTTCTGTCCCATGAATTCTCTACTAGTTATCCTCTTGCAATCTGGGAAGAATTTCCTGTCTACCCACCTGAATGTCTCCTTTCCAGCTTGTTCTCCAAGTACCATATCCTTGTTTGGACCTTTTTAAAAAACTGATGTCATGACAGAAAAAGACCTCCCTTCATTCTGGCTTTCTTTTCTCTTTCTGGCTACCAGCATCCTGAAGGACCTCTATTTTCTATTTTGGGTAGAATTTTTCCAAACTTCTAGAGATGCTCAGTTTTTTCTTATTCATCCAATTTAATTAACCTTCTTGATTTAAATTGATAGGGTTTAAGGATATTTATTATGTAGCCATTATTTATGCACTGTCATCTCTGCTCTCATTTTCAAATAAAGCTCTAAACTGAAAGAAAATAAATACAATCAAGCTTAATGTTGCAAGAGTTTTGTTCAATTCCAATCATTTTACAAATGGTATTTAAATTCAAAAGATAGTCCCATCCAAAAATGTCTATATTAAGATAAATATATAATCTAAATAATACTAGCTGGAATTCCAGATTTGGAAACTAAAAGCACAAGGGATAAAAATTATCTTTCTCTATCTTGACTTCTTTTAAGAATAGGATTGAAGAGAATGCCTATTAACACAGAAGAC